TATCATAAAAAATATAAAATTAAGATATTTAAATTTTATTTTTTATTTTCTTCATAATTATCTTATTAACTCGATCAAAACTATTACTATGTGATTTGTAAAAAAAAAAAGTCTAATCTTTTTGTCAATAATTATTATTACTAAAAATGTATATATTAACTTAAAAACATTAACATTAACGTTTTTTTATTGGTAATTAGTACACTTACGATTATTAGCAATTTTTTATTTAAATATTTTTTATAAATTATAAATGAAATTATTTATTTAATTTAATTTGATTAAATATTATATATAGAAAGAGCAACATGAAAGATGATCCAAAATATTAAAATTAAAGCGTGCTTTCAAAGGCAACTTTTTTGCCCACCAACCACTTAGCACAATACATAATTATTTGGAGTCACCATCAATTATTAATATAAATTATATTCACATTCATTTCAAATTTAATTTGAATTTTATCCAATAATTTTTTTCATATCTGTTAGATTTATATAATAATATAAATGGATAAATATGATTTTATTATTATTATTTTTAACTTATGCTTTCTTTAACTTTTTTAGATGAATTTAATCTTTCAATTTTAAATATATGTGGGTTAGATTCTTTATTTGTAAACTGTTATTTAATATTAAATTTATTCTTTTGAGTTTTTTATAATTATCATTTCCTTCATGAATTATTTGATCATTTTTAATTAGTTAAATATTTAATCTAATCTTACAAAATCAGTAAGATGAGAAGTATAAAATAAAGTAAGAAATACATTCATCTACACATTATATAATAGAATAAGGTGAGAAATGAATTTATCTAAATATTATAATACTTAATTTATGTTAAATTTAAAATTTTCAGTTAATTTTTTAATTTACATTTATTTTCAATTGAGAATTACAAGAACTGAATGAACATGTAGAAGTCAAAATATTAATATAAGACTAATTAGATCTTCTAAAAATGAGAGTAATGATTAAAATGTAAGAATATTAGATTAGAGACCTATTTTTTTGTTAACGAAAAATTTCAATTAAGAAAATAATATAAACTTAAAATCTCATTAAAAGAAAATGGTTAAACACATGTTTTTAAAAGAAACTACATGAAAATTAATATTTGAAGAACATGCACATGTATGTAAAAGAAAAAGCATTAAATTTCAAAAAAATTAATATCTCAAATATAATAATTTACAAATACTTTTGAATTGGAATAAAATTTCCAAAAACATGTAAAGAGATAAAGAAGATTGATGAGCATCAACATGAAAGTTAAGGAGGTAAAGTTAAAGGCACATTTGTCAATGTGAGTCATCATAACTAATTAATATGTATATCAAATCATATCATATCAATGCTTATAAGTAAAAAGATTACTGTTAGAAGTTGAAATCAAGTACCAATTAATTAAAATTTTACTTTAATGATCAAATGCTACATCAATATCCATATATATATATAGAAACATTTTAATGTAAACACTTAATTCCTTATATATATAATCATATCATTAAATTTAAGTAGATCTAATAATTATGTCAAAATTTAGATACATTGAAGTTCTTTTATGAATTAATTTTAAATTTTTTTAGTTAAAGATTTTAAAGATTGTTTTACTTACTATCACTATTCATTACACACTGTTTTAAAGTACTAGTCATTTCAACCTTCTAAATATTTTTTTTTTACATTTTATGTATAAGAAATTAATATGCTTGTAAATCCAACTTAGAATTATAGTTAAAATTATTTTTTTTAATAACTTTCTTAATGAAAATATTCTGTGGCCTAAAAATAAGTTATTTTGACAACTTAGTACATTTTTTAATGACTTTCTCAATGAAAATTTTTTATTATTTAAAAAATAAGTTTTATGTTAATAGAGATTATAATTATCTTGACCTCATTTTAAGGTTAAATAAAAAAATTTTGATGACATAATAAGATTTATATTTTAAAATGGATTATAATTTTTCACTTAACAAATTAACGAATCAATTTTAATCTGATTTAAAATTATTAAAAAATTATTAACGTATCTATATTAAAATAATTAATTAAAATTAAAATATATTTTTTTAATTTAAATTATATTAATAAAATTATTTTTTATTTAAGACATAATAATTTTATATAAATTATAAGATAATGAATCATTTAATTTTAAATATAAGAATTAAAAACTTATTTTTTATTATCATTAATAATTTTTTAATAATTTATTAATCTAAAATAGTAATTAATCTTATTAAATACATACTATAATATTTAATCTTAAAATAAGTTAATTTCTTACTAATACACATATTATAATACACATATTTTTTAATAAAATAATATTATTTTTATCTAAAAATAATTATTATTCTTTAAACTGACATGTAAACCTATAGACTTGACCTATGTTATATAAACCACAAATTTTTTTAAATTTAATTTAACATATTTTTTCGAATCTTTCCTACCGACTAAGATTAAGTCTATTTTGATATACAAACTATCCACAAAATTTCACTTATCTAAAATATTCTTAAGATAACATATAAATATTGTATTATCATCTAAGTAAAAAAATTTGTCTGGAAAATACTATTTCTTTCATTATTAATTTTCATGATTGTTTTAAAATATCAAGAAATACAATAAACTTTCTTGATTATAATAAAATAGTTGTACATTTTATTATTTCATGAATAATAAATAGATAGAAATATTTTTTATTTTAGAGTTGGGTCGTGGGGGATCTCTTTTCAAAAAATTAATGATTGGAGAATAAAGCAAGATCAAGACAAAATGATAAATGATTTTTTTTAATGTTAAATTTTGAACCCAAGTCACTGTGTAGGGAACACATCCCTTCGAAAAGCTGAAGAAACAGAAAACAATGTAGTTTTGCAAGTACTACAAATGTTCAAGATTCTTGTGTTAATCTTTACAACTGTGACATCTTATCTTACACTAAATACAATAATATATACAATCTCATCAAGTTCTTTTTTTTTTTACCAAAATTTCTTACATCATGCATTTTAAAAAGACCATTTTATTTTCAGTTTTCCAAGAATTTGTAAAGCACAAAATTGAGATGAAAGTGGCAAAACATGCACACACAGTGAAGTAATTTAACAAAAAAGTTACACATAACATGTTTTTCAAAGTCAATCAGGAACCATAAAATAACAAAGATTCAAACTTCTTACAAAATGGACAAAGACACTGCAATTTTTTTTCATGACCACTGATTTAAGTGTCTGATCATGTTACCAATAAGTTTTTGGAACTATTAATATTAAACTCATCGGTAAATATATGATTTGGATTTGAGTTAAACAGTTTTCTATTGATTAACAGTATCAGAAAAAAAATTGCAAGTTTTGACAGAAGAGTCAACTTTGGTGTTGAAAAAGATGCAATGTTAAAACTCACGGGAGTGTCCAAGTTGATGGTGTAAAGATGAAATTGATTATCCCACATCATAATTTGAGGCATCATTAATTTTTCCATACTGATAATGACCAATTTGAAATGAAAATGACCGGGTGGACAAAAATTGTGGCTGATAAAGATCAATGGGAATGAGAAAGACGGAGAGAGAAAGAGGGGTGGCTATGAGTTTGAGTGTGTTAGCTAGCTAGGGAGGCACCTAGCTTTGCCTTGCATTCTAGATCCATATTCCACAACCTAACAAGATCTATTTGTTTATATTTTTAGTTGATTTAATACAAAGAACATGCAAAATTTGTCAGAATATATTCAGCCTTTTTTATAGTCAATAGCTACAATGATAATGAAATGAAGGATGATGAAAAGAACTTTGAATTAAATACAGAGTTTATAAAAAAGAATTAAGGGAAAGGCTTTTAGCCATGCTTGTTACGATTTAATCAATGGATCAATCATGTCGGTGTAAAACGTAGAAAGTTGAGAACAAGAAGAGTCTAACAGCCATGATGTTGGTTAAATAATAGAATTTGAGCTTCTCTCTCTTTCTCTCTTTCTCCTTCACACACACACACACTCTATCTGTGTATACAAATGATACTCTCTTTTTGTGGATGCTTTTTTTTGCCCCCTTTTTTGTGCTTACTTTGCAACAGAAGGGAAAGGCAAGCAAGAAGGATGTATTTGAACGAAAGTTTTTAGCCAAAAAATTTCAACTCTTTTTTTGAAGCAAAAGAAAAACACTATAAAGAGAGAAATATTGAAGTGATTTTTCTGGGGTAGAGAGAGAGAAAAAGACAGAAAGCTCAACGTCAGAGTTAGCCGTAAGGTTCTCCTTGGGTTTGTGGTTTTGGACATGCTGAGGTACACTGAGAATCCTCTTCTCATCCACACCTCTCTCTCTTTTCTGATAACGAGTTTAAACTTTTAAACAACAGGGTCTATATTTTTGTTGATATTTGTGTGGCTACCCTTGGATTATATATTTATTTTCCTTGGTAGTATTATCATATTATCAAGCATGGTTTTCAAAACCATGAAGGAGAAATATACGGATTGCGGCTACACCATCTGCTTCACCTCAACTTCTCTTTATCGTAACTCCTTCTTACTTGTTTCTTCTGTTCTTTCATAAAAACAAAACTTGTCTCTTGGGTCAGTGCCAAACTAGTAACAAGTTTTCTATAGTGGTTATATAGAGAGACCACTCTCTCAACTTTCTTCCTCTTTTGTTTAGTTGTTTGCTAGAGACTCATGTAGACTATTCCTGAACTGAATATCAATTTCCTTTGCCTTTTGATTTGTTGTGTTTTCATCTTTCTCTTTCCTTTTCCAGTCTAAGCTGCGTAGACTGTAGTCTAGCGTTTTCTTTTTTCTTCCCTTTCTATTTTGGGTAAGGTTTGTCCTTAGATCCCAGAAAGCTTCGCAACATTTGAAAAACCAAGATCTATGGTCTATAACACAACCTTAGGTTTCTAAAACTTGCAAGTATATATGGAGATGAAGGGTCTTATGTTCAACCAACAACAGCAGCAACCAGTAGTGGAGGAGAACATGTCAAATTTGACTTCTGCATCTGGTGAAGCTAGTGCTTCCTCAGGCAACAGAACCGAGATTGGAACCAGTTACCCTCAACAATACTTGGCTCCACCACCACCAACTCAGACTCAACCAGCAAAGAAAAAGAGAAACCTTCCTGGAAACCCAGGTTTGTTTTTTTGTGTTCCCTATTCAAAACAAAGCCTAAACCTCATTTCTCATGGCTTGGTTAATATATACATATCATGTTTTGTGTTGTTTTATTTATCTGAATTTTAATGTGTCTATTTTTATCTTCTTAATTATTCAGACCCTGATGCTGAGGTTATAGCCTTGTCCCCCAAGAGTCTTCTGGCCACAAATCGGTTCATTTGTGAGATCTGCAACAAAGGATTTCAAAGAGACCAGAACCTCCAACTTCACAGAAGAGGGCATAATTTGCCATGGAAGCTGAAGCAGAGAACAAGCAAAGAGGTGAGGAAGAAGGTGTATGTGTGTCCAGAGCCAAATTGTGTGCATCATGACCCATCAAGGGCTCTGGGGGACCTAACTGGGATCAAGAAGCACTTCTGCAGAAAGCACGGTGAGAAGAAGTGGAAATGTGACAAGTGCTCCAAGAAATATGCAGTTCAATCTGATTGGAAAGCCCATTCCAAGACCTGTGGCACTAGGGAGTACAGATGTGACTGTGGAACCCTCTTCTCAAGGTAACTAACCTAAATCCATGTCATGTGAATTATAAGTCCAGTTTAGTTAAGGCACCATAGTCAAGGAACATCTTTCATTTAAAGTGGATGGGATTTGAATCCTAGGTTGACTAAGATGAATTCACATAGTAATTTTTTATTGCTATTCCAATTTCATTAATAGTATATGTACACAGTTTCATACATTCCTTATCCCTTCTTACAAGATGATATGCATGAGGAGACATTAAATTCATTACATTGATATAGCAGTCTCTCATAAATCATAATCCCTCCCTAGAGAGTGCAAATTCCTAGTTTGGAAATTTTTTTAATGTCTTTAAGTACACCCACAAGGGTTTAAAAAATGTTGAAAAGTAAGAGAGAGAGTAAGAAAGTCAATAATTCTACACCGTCATAACAGTTTAGTAACATTAGTTGGTTGTGTAATTTTGTTTGTTTATGACTTTCAGGAGGGACAGTTTCATAACCCACAGAGCTTTCTGTGATGCATTAGCAGAGGAGAGTGCAAGAGCCATCACAGGCACAGCCAATAACCCACTTCTTCCACAACCTTCTGCCTCTCACCACCACCACATGAGCCTCCAAAACCAATTCAACCCTCAAAATCTCCATGCTTTCTCATTGAAAAAAGAGCAGCAAAGTTTCAATGTTAGGCCAGAAATACCCCCTTGGCTTGGCCCACCATCAACAGTTGATCATCTCTCCTCATCCTCATCCATAATGTTCTCTCCTCCTCCACACCAAGAAAACCCTAACCCTAGTCTTGGTCCCACTCTTGCTACCTACCAAACAGTCCCTAACCCTTCCCCACACATGTCAGCCACAGCATTGCTGCAGAAAGCAGCTCAGATGGGTGCAACCATGAGCAGAAGTGGTTCCTCACCAGCCATGGCAAGGGCACACCATCAGGCTCACGTGTCTTCTTCTGCAGATTCTAGCACTGCTCACTTTGGCTTGAACTTGTCCTCACGTGAAGACACCACCACCACCACTTCAACAACAACAACAACCACTGTTACTACAAACACTGCTACAGTGTTTAGCCATGGCTTATTATCATCACCTTTGGGGAATAAAGCTGCTGTTGCTGCTGTGTCTTCTGCTCCATCCCTTCTTCATGATGTTATCAGCTCTTTCTCTTCTCCTTCTGCCTTTGAAGGAACCCCTTTTGAGGATGCATTTGGTGGCATTCACAGTTCAAAGAAACTAGATGATGATAGCTTGTATTTGCATGACACCTTCTCAAAAACAAGTGGTGCAGCTGGAAGTGAAGGGTTGACCAGAGATTTCTTGGGTCTCAGGCCCCTCTCTCATACTGACATCCTCACCATTGCTGGCATTGGAAACTGCATTCATGATAAACAAAACCAATCTCAAAAGCCATGGCAAGGTTAGCTTGCTATATATGGATTTTCTTTCTTTGATCATCTCTATAAATAATTTTTTTCCTTTTTAATCAGTATAACTTTTGTTTAAGATCTTTTCTATTTTCCCAAAGGGAATCAACTTTCTGAATCGATCCCAATGTTTCTTATCTACTTGTTACGATTCGTAATATTTTTGTTCATTATTGCATACTTGAATTTTATACTATATACAAGAAGACTAGATGGTAAACGAATATTATAATTGTAATTATAATAATTATAATAATTATAGTATTATTATATCGGGATTAAATCATTCAGTTCGTCTATAATTATTTGAGAATTTCTAATTAGATCTCTGATTTTTAATATCTAATTTTGACAACCTTTTATATGTTTCTCATTTTTATAATCAATAAACTACATATATAGAGAGCATGCTTTTATACATGGATATTAAAATAGATAAAAAAAATTTATAACTATTCAATTAAGATGTAGAAAACAGTTATTATTTACAATGGAATTCAAAGTTTTGCTTTTTCATTAAAATAAGTTAGAATGTAATTTTTCACATTGTTATTTAATCATACAATATATCATTTACAATAAGGTCTGCATGGGTATTAATTAATTGATAGTATTTAATTATTTACAATGATATATTCTTCAAATACTTAAAAATTAATGTTTTAAAATTCAAAACCGTAATTTATATGTGAAATTATTTTATAAGTAATAAAAAAATACAAAACTGTAAAAGTTATAACTTAATATAAATGACTAAATTATATATTATAAGATAAAAAAGATTTGCACTGTAAAAATTACAATATAACTACGTAAAAATGATTCATTATTTGTACAATACGACATTAAAAAAAAACGAATAAGAATAAATTAATGACAGTTTTATAACATAATAATCTCAATAAGCAGAAGTTTATAAACCTTTTAACCGCAGATCAGTGATATGTAATTAATATTGGTGATTCTGAAAGGGAATGTTTTCACATTACTTTGAATATTCTCATTCTAAAAGTGGAGAAATTTCATGATATTAATTAATGATTTTTTTCAGGTCCAATTATAATCTGAAACCCAAATATATTATTAATTTAAGTTATAAAATAAATGTTTTAATCATTATTTTGAAGTCTTAAACAATTGGAGAAGGAGGAATACCCCAAATACAAGATGAAAACAAAAGCATGAAGACAAAAACATAACCTGGGCACGACACATGATCACAGCAACAATGCGTGTTTTCCAAGAATAAAGTTTGGAGATCAAAATGTTACTTTTTTTTAAATAGTTTTGTACTTATTTATATACATATACATATATTTTATTTTATTATATGTTATTATATTTTAAATTTTTTTATAAAGGTATTTCAATTCATTTAATTTTCAATTAATTATAATAAAAATCAATAAGTTTATTATAAATAATAATTTATGATTAAAACGAAGTTTATTGTAAGGGATATAAAAAAAAACATTGGATTCTTTGTGAAGAAGAGGATTCGTAATTATCATACGAATGCATCAAAGCATGTTCCTCTTATTTAAATATATGTGATCGTGATTTTCTATAAATTAGAATCATTAAATAATTAAAAAATAAAAAAAGATGCCATTTGATACCTGATGTGGTTACAAATGGGATTCAGTCCCGAGGGATCAACCTTTTCATCAACTTTTCTTTATATAAAATTCATTAATTTAATTATTTTTACTTATTATTTTCAATATAGGTTAATTTTAAGCTACATATTGTTAAAATAAAAAATTAACTTTAACCATATTTGAATATAAAAAATTCTCCTCAGAAGAATAAGAGTGTAATGAAATCCCACATTTTATGGGTGAGTACCATCTTTGTTTTATTAAATTAATTTTATAAAATTAAATAGATTTTACCATTTACAAGATTATACCCTATATTATTTCATTTGATGTATATGATCTTAGATGAATATAGAAAAGTGGCATTTGGGACCTCTAATTTCATTGGTTTGTAAAGGCAAAACATATGTGCAGGTAAAGATTCCTCTGAATCCCGATGCAATCTATACATGAAAAGGAAAGAGTTTAATAAGAGACATAAGATAACAATATTATTATTATTATTATTATCATTATCATTGAAATAATACTGCTAACAATGATAAATGTAGATATGTTATAAATAAGAATTTGATTCCATGTGTACTTTTAGGCTTCACATGAGTCAATTTGGAAAAATTGTTGGGACAGAATGATTTGAAAATTTGATCGCATTGGTTTTCTTGGTTGCATGCTGAATGTTTTTGGAGTAATTGTTTTGTCTCTGTCAGCCATTGTCTTATTCAAAACCACAAATTCTTGAGGAATTTACCTTTACACATTCTCTCCATATCACGTGTCCTTTCAGCAATGGAAATGCACCTAATTTTCTAAATCAAGCATCTTAAGAATGAAAAAACCAAATGTATAAATAACATCTTTTGAAAGGACATAGGAACTCAAGATTTGATCACAACAAACATATATAGACTAGGACACTCTCAAAATATGTTTGTATTGATGCTCACAAATGTAGTTTGCAAAACAACATTTTAGTTACTGAACCAGTTTTTCACTCTTCCAAATATACAGTAAAAGATCCAAAAGAATTCCAATGATAGCAATAAATATTGCATGCAGATACATGACAAGGGATGTATATATGTATTGAAATGCTAACTATTGATTTCATATCAATGAACCTGAAATGACTTAAGAGTAAAATCTTACAATATCTGTCATTGATTGAAGCTAAATGACATGGTAAACAGATCTTAGTTATTTTGATGCAAGTACTGAGAGAGATGTCTTTGTGCTAGAAAAGGAAGGTGCATGGAGTGATAAAGAACAAAAAGGAAAGGGTGGTGGTAGGGTAGGTATTAGGTAGGGTAGCATTAGCATGGCATATAGCAGCAGGAAGAGCAAAAAGCACAGTACCCTATGGCATGGCATGGCCATATGATATATATTCCTCTTCTATATCTTCTCTACACTGTTTGTATTGGTTGTAGATAGATAGTTGTGCTTTGCTGGGGTGCTTTTTGTCTGGCAGAAGCAGATCGAAGGCAAAGACAAGAAACAATATGTAGTGCTACCTCTAAAAGCTGATAGACCTGTCACAATGATTCAACCCCTTTTCTTTGCTTTTTGATGATGCCCTTACATGCATATATTCAATATACATTCAGCCATAGTCCTCCCAGTTGACTTGTCATTGTAAAACACTCAAAAGATGCTTTCCCTCTCAACAATGCCAACTTTTCTGCATGGTTTGACTAATCCCTCGTCACCTCTTTATTCTCTCCTCTCTATATCATGTATTCTATTGTATGTGCATGTTCTGGCTTCTCTCTCCCAATCCACTACTTCATTTCCAAGGTCTTGTTAATCCATAAAGTGAGAGATTGAAATGAGTGCTTAGAGTTTTCATTACCCTAGAGAATTATGCAATAGTGCAGGTTCTAGCAATTTGTGATAATACACAAGAAATAGACAGCTTATCATTCTTCCCTCAAAGTTTTTTGTAAGAAAATTTGATGATGTAGTTTTATGTAGATTTGCTTTTTCCTTACTATTTTAATGGTGTAGTTTTAATGTATTTTGATTTGACATCTAATATTAAATCTATTACACTCTCACATCTATATTTCTGATAAATATTAGATGTCAAGTTAATTTTTAGATTAAAATTATCAAACAAAATATTAAAAAAACAATTTTTTTAAAAGGAAATTATTAGAGAATCAAATTCACAAAATAACTAGAGTAACCAAATTTCAATTAAAATCTTAGTTGACATAATTATTTACTTAACAATTTAGGTACACATCGCAAAACTGGTTATTGTTTGAGTTTTAAAAATAGAAATTAATTTATGTTTGCTGGCAATAGATATTTTTGATTAGTTATTCAGAATAGATTCTAATTTTAACTATTTCAAAAACCTGAAGAAAAGGATGACAACTTTTACAATAAATCTTGAAAAGGGAGATTAACAAATGGACATTTAAAAATGTCTTTTTAATAAATAAAAGAGTCCTTCAATTTTGACTTTGATTAGATTAAAAAAAAAAAAGCATTTTTAAGAGCTAGAGGAATACATTTGACTCTTAGTCATATATAAATTGTCAAGATTATATATTACTACTTTAAAAAATGATGTTTTATTCTTTATCATTATCTAATGAAATGAAAAAAAGAGAGAGAGTAGTTTTATATTATATAAAAGTACAACAATTTATCTCCATCTTATATATTATATTTTTGCTGAAAGTGCTAATTGAGTGAGAGTATTTTCTTCTTCTTTTTTGTCGGTAAACATTATTGTTTCAAATGGGGCTCCTTCACACAAATCCTATGGCCCATTGTATTCCAACTTTATCAGTTCTTTGTCCTTAATGCTAGAATAATTCCCTGACAATAAGCCCAAATGTCCTACACTTCCTTCCCATGAAAAGAAGAGAAAAAGTTGAGCCAGTGAAAGCGATGCTAAAACATACCTATACTTATTCTGCCCAAAATGCTTGCAAAACCTTTTTTTCCATTTTATTTTCAATTAAACCAAGGCATACTCAATAATAATAAATTTATGAAAAAAAGAGTGTCAAATAAAGTGTACCATGCCACTGTTCAGAATTAGATAGGCAGTGTTAGGACAACAAACTAAATAGAAGGAAAGGAACTGTGTCAATCCACTTCCCTTTGAAAAATTCCGATTGAGTGTATGTGTTTTTATATATGTTTTAAAAAAAATCACAACCTAATCCAAAGAATTCTCTTATTATCACAAATAACTTCAAAGAAAACTCATCTCTCAGCATTTACAAACTACTCCAGCTGAGACTTAAGTTTTGTCTCAGAAATCCATCCATAGCTCCATCAAAAACTTCGGGAACTCTATAAATTCCATGTAATCTTATTACAAAGACTTGAAGAGGTTATCACATCACCATTTGTCAAGACTATAATTCTCATATGGCCCTCTTCCTTCCACTTAAAATTGGGAATGTTCACCTAAGCTACAGAAATTTACCAACAGTGTCAAACTGGAAGAAATAAAATGATACAGATAGTTATTTTGGAGACTGTTGAGAAGCATCAGTTTGCTCTTGTTTTGACCCTGCCACAGCTGCAGTTGCTGCTGCTGTCATTGCAGCTGCAGCTGCACCCATTTTTGCACCGCCTGCAGCTTTCATTGCACCAGCTATTTTAGCAAATGCTGCTATGCCTCCAACGAGAATAGCCCTTAATGCAACTGTTGGTTTTACCGCCATATCTAACTCAGACTACCTGTAAAACACTAAGTCAAACTAATGTCAATACCAAAAAAGCTCATCAATCATAACCCCAACAACATGAGATGTTAATAGTATGCCCTGCCACCATTATTTCCATCAATCCAGCAACCTCAACATTCTAAATGCATGCAAGCAACCGACAAATTGGGAACATTCATGATTAATTAACCCCTAAATAGCCTCATAATTATCGCATCTTGGCAAGGTAGTAGAGATGATGATGACTTAAAACCATTATTTATGCTTTGATTAAGCTTTTGAGGAATGATTAGATGAATGAAATGCCTGAAATAAACTCGAAGCTTAAAGATGAGTTATCCCTTTTAAAACTTGTTTTTTTGTTGAAGTAGTTGAACCTGTGTTGTACAAGTACAACTCTTTCACACTTTAATCCTTTCAAACACCAAAACCTTATCGACCCTGTATCTAGTAGACCTTCATCTCTAATAAAAATTTCAGTAAAAAAAGGTAATTAACTGGAACTTCAGTTTTTGACAGTGCCGAATGACATCATGTGATTCATGTAGCCGATCTCAACTAATGTAATAAGGCTTTGTTGTTATTGATATCGTTAATGTAACAGGAGCCTAAATAGTTAAAACCCCCTAATCTACCAGCCGAAATGGATGAAATGATACCCGCTAACTATAAGAGAAAGGAAAAGGAAAAAGGCAACATCAAGAGGAAATTTTAACTCTCCTCATCACCTAATATGAATTTAGTTTCCCTGAAGCTATCTTCTAATAATAAAACATTTTACCTTCCTCAAATGCACCCAAATTTAAGATATTTGTGTTGAAGGTAGATCAGGATAGGTTTAAAATAACAACTATGGTCTGCAGTGATTGTGACTCTTTGATGGACAACAGCTGGTATTTCTGTATTCTTGCACTGAACTGACTGAAAGATTGCATACGACAAGCAAAATCAACTTCAGCACAAGATATATATATATATATATATATATATATATATATATTTCCTAGCACTCATCAGTCTAATGAGATATAAATGTAAATACCTCTACAATGACAGGGGAGCAGATACTTTTTCCCCACTTTTCCAATTTCTTCTCCTGTTCATGTTCTTTCCTATACTCTGTAATACAGCTACCGATCACAGTAGTCATTTATTTATTGTATTAAACTCATACTTGAATAATATCATTACAGAGTTATGATTCCATATTCCTACAGTTACCCTTTATACACATAACATCACCTTGTACAAACACAATGCTTCTCATTCAATCACTATCACCTTCATTGTTGACACTACAGCCCCAAAGCCAGAAACGCCATTCCAACAATTTCATCCCCATTACTCATAATTGTTATTGTTGCTCTTATCTTATAATCATGATCAAAATTGTACAACCAGTTTACATTGTCTTCCAAATAAATACTTTTCTTTTGCACCGAATTTAGGACCATACTCCATTCCTATGAGTATTGTCAGTGTAGAATAAACACTATGAACTATAATATAATTTTGTAAACACTTTCTAAACAATAATTTGTACTTGTATCAATTCATGCGCGAATGAAAAAAAAAAAAAAAAAATCTTCTTTGGTTTTGATTCTGAGCCTAAAACAGAAGTAAAAACAAAAACGAGCAAAATTGGATGACATGTAGAGTTGAAGTTGAAGTTGCACGTCAAGCTAAAGTTTCGAGTTAAAAGGGGGAATTGAATAACAAACTAACCTGGAAACCTTTAAAATGATATGAGAAGAGATTAAGAAAATGGACGCAATGAATCTATACCTCGCCGTTGATTCCCTTTCCCTTAACCTCGGACCTAAACTTAAGGGGGGCGCTACTGTGTTTGCTCCAAACAACAACATTGTTTTTCCGCTACAGGCTTAAAGGCTTTGTTTGGTTTCTGCAACACCTACTCTTGAATACACTGGGCTCTGACGAGTCATGGGCCCATAGGCCCATTCACTATCCCATAGTCCAACTAGACTCTTTATCTAGGCTCGTACTATTTCCACCCCTTTCTCTATATACACCATTTTGCTTCTTTTGAAATATTAAAAAAAAATTGCCCACTTTCCAAGGTTCCCCAATCGCAAATCAGAACCAAACAACATCCTCCTCTGCTCGACGCTCATCACGGTCACCGGCCACCGCAACGCTCTCGCCGCTGTCGCCGCTGTCGCCGACCATCGCAGCGCACCCTTCGTCTCCGCCGGGCATTATAACGCTCGTGTCATAGTCGCAAACCATCACGTTGACGTCGGCGACGCTTGCATCACCCTCGACAGGGTTCGCGTCGCTATCCCTGCGTCTGTAGGAATTTGTAGGTTATCACTAATTCCAAATCTTTGTGAGTGTCTTCTCATCTCAACCTGAAAAAGAGGTTAATTGTTTGAAGAAGTATCATTGTAGAGAGAGATGGATCACTATGGTTCTTCAGGAGGAAGCTGGACAATGATCCCAACTCACAATTCAAATATTCAATCCCAATCCCAATCGAACCAGGATGCTAACCTCTTTCTTCAACAGCAACAGCAACAACAACAACAGTTTCTACAGCCACAACCTTTTCAGCAAGCACTACAGCCCCAATCTCCCTTTCAACAGCACCACCAACTTTATCAGCAGCAACAACAACAGCAGCAGCAGCAGCAACGTCTCCTACAGCAACAACAACAGCAGAAGCAGCAGAACCTTCATCAGTCACTTGCCTCTCACTATCATCTCTTACATGTAACGTTACCCCTTTAAAAATTTTAGTTTCATCTCCGTATTCTTTTATTTTTTTTCTTTTCAGTAAGGGAATTGCTGATTATGGGCACAGTTGGTGGAGAATTTGGCTGAGGTTATTGAACATGGAAACCCAGATCAACAGTCAGATGCATTGGTTTGAAATTTTCCTTTTTTCATTGTTTTGAGTAACCCTTTTTTTCATTGGAATCAAATTTTCTTTTTAATATATATATATTTTTTTTGCTTCTTCATTATTTGATTTCATTGGTTAAAGATCAATGAATTGAGCAACCACTTTGAGAAGTGCCAGCAGCTGTTAAACTCAATCTCCGGCTCGATTAGCACCAAGGCTATGGTAATATGCAATTGTCTAACTTTAGCTTTTCTTGTTTCATATGTTAATTGCTAAATAGGATAGGTAAGTTAGTTGAACACATGAGCTTCAAAATTGAGTTTCCAAAGTCTGAGGAAACTAATGGCTCTACTTGGGTCATGTCTTTAATCAAATGCACACTATGCACTCTCCCTTTTTCTTGTTCCCTCTATATACTCCTACTATGTTTTGTTACACGGACCATGCATGATAAACAAAAATCTGCATTATTGATGATGAAAATCTTCTGTCATACAACTCAATATGCTTGTGCTCGAAACATCCTGAACTAGTAGTTTGGAACTAGGGTTATTCTCAGCATTACATGTGTGCTTTCTGTGTGCTGAATGCAGACAGTTGAGGGACAGAAGAAGAAGCTAGAGGAAAGTGAGCAATTGCTAAATCAGAGAAGGTCTGTACAAATTTTATCAGATATTTCTGTGTGGTTAAGTTTCTAGATGCTAAAGAAATGTGTTTGTTTTCCCTTGTTCTAGAGATTTGATTGCCAATTACAAAAAATCTGTGGAGGAACTTGTAAGGTCTGAGCCATAAGAGAGTGTTATGCATTCAGATAGGTAAGGAACCTTAACTGGGTTTTTATGCCTTCATGTTTTACTGGTAATGTGGAGCATCAGTGTTCTACCTCAAAATCAAGGCTAGCAAAAAACGCTAATAATTATTTATACCTGATAAGTACTTAAAGATGCATCTCTGAATACATGTTCTTTTTTAATTTGGAACTTGGAATACCTAGTCATAGAATCCAATTGTGTCATACTTGCATGTATTTTGGGTTGGAGTAGTGACAGGATATCTCTATCTGAAGATTTAGAAGCTACAAATAAACTAAAATTTGCTTGAGTCCAGTGTCATTCAGTCTCAATTGTAATTTGTGTTTTGGTTTGAAAAGATCACGATTTCTTTGTTTTTTACATGTTGTAAATGATTGAACAGATTCAGTCCTGTTTTTTAAGTTTCCCCCTCCTAAGCACAGATTTTATGTATTCATTCAAGAGCTAACAGAAAGAAGGGAGCCAAGTTGTTCGATAGGCACTTGGGCCTTGAATTTGTCCTTTCATCAAATTTCAAACCATAAAAGATGCAGACTAACTGCATTCTTATCAAGATTGTGTGCTACCATACCATCTCAATAGCTTTGTAGTCTTGTACTCTCGTTATTGATCTAGCTACTGGCAGCTTAGTTGTAAAATGAAAAATAATTTTGGTAACCAACAAAGTCTGTTGAAAATCTAGTTGTATTTCCTTTTTGAAATAATAAGAAAATGTAGTGATTAAGAGCATCAATTCCAAAATACAATTGATGCAAGATAAGCGTGAGTATGCTAAATATCACTTTCTTCCATTTGTTGTCTAGATTCTAGTATTCGGTTCTGATTCAATATTTATTATGTATGTCAGTAAAACTTGACGCTTTTTATAACTCTTAAGATTTGATCTTATTTTACAGATATCGCTGTAGGCGTGTGCTTTGACTTTCTCCTTTATCAGGGCATCTTCGGGTTATGTATGTTCAATAACCTGTGCATGAATTTATAATTCAATATATACTCTGCAAGTTACTTGTCATGTTTAGGCACCTGGATGTCAAGGTTTCTATATCCATGAAACAAGGTCAAATTAGGTTTAAATCAACGGCACATTTTTACCATTCGCTTCTGTTGCCTGTATTAGAAAGGCATGGCATTATATTAAGAGAAACTGAGGAATCAGGAATGTAATTTTATTATAGATGATACAAAATTGGTTGTATTGGTGCCGTTTATCTATGATGTTGGATTACCAGATGGGGAGGTAAATTTTCGCTGATATTGAATGCTGCATAATATCATTCATTACACTAACAAAAATGTTTAAAGAACATGGAATGTTGTCGCTTGACGGAAAGAATGAAAAGTGAAATCTAAAAGGCAGTTTTCGCAACTGTTCATACGTGTAGGAGGGTGTTAACTGATATGCATTTTAAATGGTTCTGATGCCCAAAACAAAAAAGTGAGATAATTTCAAAATGACTTGTCCATCAGCATTAGAACAATACCCATATTGCATTCAAATATTAATTGAATTGCAGGGACAGTCCAGAAGGAAACTAGGGTTAAAATGGTTACCATAATAGATTACTTTTGTTATTCATAAATTGACATTTAGTAGCTCACCTCGCCCTCTTTCATTTCTGTACCAATCGATTGTATTTTAATAATTTATGAGCAAACTGAGCAGAAGAACGTACGCCCTTTGACCCAATAACTGTTGTGTTATTTTGAACATTTTTGGCATAAAAGTGCAAGACATGTTTGTATCCTTGATTGGTTTAAGTTCTACCTCTGGCATCAAACTAGATATTTTGTTATGTGTATGTAGTTCAAGGTTATCACATCTAAATTACTCTCTCTCGCTTTTATGAAAACAAATAATAGGGTAAATACGATCTATGAAAAATTTCTAAAATCTACAATACGACTTTCAACGAGTTTTTGTTTTTTCAAATTTTGAACATATTTTTTAAGACTTTCTAAAATTTAAATAGGTCATTTAGTTGTGATAATGAAAGATAAAGAAAGTTAACGTGGATGACAGTCTTAATTATGGATAAAAAAAAATCTATATTTACAAATATTCATGGATAAAATTTGTAAGTATACAACTATTTTAACTATTCTAATCTTAACTAGACAAAGTATATATATATATATATATATATATATATATATATATATATATATATAATTTATATTTTATATCAACTTCTAAAATATTAATTTGTAATTTATTTTCACTGAATAAATTGTTAGTAATTATTTAGATTTTTTTATAATAAATTATTAAATTAAAGTTGTTTACCAGGAAACATGAATAATTGAAAAATTATTTAAAGTTTAATTTTATAAATTTATGTTTTTTATTTAAATTTACGAAATTAATTTTTTAAAAGATTGATTTTATTTAAATTTATACTTTTATGTCGTAATGAGTTTTTGTTTTTGAAAAAGGATAATTTTAATTGCATTTATATTTTATAATACAATTTTATTTGAATTATATTTATGGTAGAATTTTTATACGATAAAATAATTTTTAAATAATCTTATTTAAAATATTATAAAAATAACTAAAAATATACATGGATATTCGGATGCATAATTTTATTCTCATGTATTTTATAAGGAGATACTCCACAGATAGTGGAACATTTTTTTTCTCCTTTTCTTGATGAAGTAGGTAGGTTATGCTGCTCTCATCCATTGTTATTGTTATCCTTAGTCTTAATATAGATAATTGGTTATATATCTAAACAAAAATTCCTTTATTTATAATATTTATATTTATGTGATTTAGAGAAACAAAAATAATATAAATTTGTTTTGGAAAGCATATTTAATATATTGAAAAGTTTTCATCCAAACAAATTTTGTCTGCGTTGTAAACTATCAATAAACTCAAAGTTTGTTAGCAAGTCACAAGATTTCATTATTATAGTCTCAATTTCCCTCTATTGTGATTATGAGTGATCTGCAAGAACTCAAACTATTACTATTTTCTTTGGGTGCAATATCAAGTTGTACAATGCAAATAATTTATTAGAAAAGTGTAGTAACACTTTAGTATTGTAAAATACTATTAGAAAAATGATTTCACCCTTGTCACATATCAATATATATACTAAATCCACATGAAAAAATCTCTTCAAAATTTGATGATTTATCTAAGATGGATAACATTCAACATTTAAGAAAAGTTGAAGGTAACAGAAAGTGAAGCACAAATGTAAAGTTGAAACTGATTGTGACACGTTACTCGTTAAATTTGTATAATTAGATATGCAAGCGAATACTGAGGCTGAGCCACTGCTATAATACACAGAGCCTTAATCAGTCGAAATTTCTCCGAATGAATCGCTCTTTGATGCTCAAACGGTATAACCATATGAAGATGATGAAATAATTAATTATGATAATATTTATGTTAAGGTTTTGACTTGGCTTTCAAATCTGCATTGCTTCCTGAAAAGGCAAAAAACATTAATAATAAGATCTACTATTTTGGGGTGCATCATCCAATAATAACAGATGAAATAATTGTAATAATGATATAGAAATAGAAGTGGATGCCAAGGTGGAAGAAAAGGGAAAAAATAGGATGAAACAAGTAATCTGAGTCCAAAAATAACAATTAGCATAAACAGAAGGGTGAGTGTATTAATTATATCTATCTGTCTTTCCTCCCATTTCTCTCCATCTCCCATTGTTCTGATCAAACAAAGCCGAGAAAATAAGGGAAGAGAAACTTAGCCCCAGAAAAGGTCCCCCCCTTAAGCACCTTCCCCGCCGGAGATGCAGCCGAAATCTCACACCCCTTTTTTTGTTCCTCCCCAAAAGGCCATGAACAACAATAACAAAGCCACCAACACCAACACCAACAACAGAATCTCAACAACAAGAAATGGCAACAGCACCACGCAAGCTTGCGCTGCATGCAGGTACCAACGCAGAAAGTGTGCACCTGACTGCATTCTCGCACCCTATTTCCCACATGATCGCCAGCGCCAATTCTACAACGCTCACAAGTTGTTTGGTGTAAGCAACATCACCAAAATCATCAAGGTTCTCAGCCCTCACGACAAGGACCAAGCCATGCGCACCATCATCTACCAATCCGACATGCGTGCCACTGACCCTGTTGGAGGCTGCTATAGGTACATTCTCGACCTTCAGGCTCAGATCGAGTACTGCCGAGCCGAGCTCGAACTCGTCCTTCAACAACTCGCCATGTTTCGAGCTCAGGCTCAGCACCAGAATCAGCAACAGTTTCAGCACCAACACGGTATCTATGCTCCAAACAATGTTAACGTCACTGTCCATGGAGACGGTGAGGTTTTGAACGCTGACCCCATGGGCTTGTATAACCAGCAGCAACAGTATCATTGCCTGCAGCCTCAACAACAGGAGCAGTATGTTATGATGCATGAAAATGGGCATGGCGCCCATAACTGCAACGGCGCCACTCCTTTGCAGGACCAGATCAACACTTGGGCTGTGCAGAACACTGCTGTGTCTCTTTCTTCGTTGTCATTGCAAGGACAGAGTAGTAATGTTAGTGATGAGTATGACCACAAGCCCGTCATTGACATAGATTCTGATGAGAGAAGTGAGTTAGGGTTCGAGTCTGAAGATTTAGTCCATCGCAGGTTTGTCTATCAATAATATCATTATATATATATATATATATATATATATATATATATATATATATATATATATATATATATATATATATATATGTGTGTGTGTGTGTGTGTGTGTGTGTGTGTGTGTGTTCAGATTGTGATTTGAAAGATGTTGGAATATATGAATGAGTGATAATGTTATCTTCTAACCATATACCTCATCAATATCAATTACTTAAGGCTTGGATTGTCATGATTTCCATTCATATATATTATGTTTAATTAAATGTTAATGATTTTTTTCTGTAAATTAGTTGGAATCATAATCACTCAGTAATCTTAAAACTTCTTTAAAGTTATATCAGTTATTATACATGTACCTGTCTCAGATTTTGTTCAAAGACAAATATTGGTCCACGAGTTTTCTCAGATTTTGCATTGGATTTGTTTAATTAGAAACTAATGGGATTGTGTTTGTGTAATCTGGATATGTGAAGGCATAAATAAATTCTAGCAAAGTGAATATTATATATGGGTGATGTTTATGATTATAATTCGTTTTTAACGTTTCTGATTGAAGCATAACATGTTCTAACATGATAAAGTTCTTGATTGAAACAATTTGCAGTGATGAAGCAGTGCTGTTTAAGATAGAGGATGCAGTAATAAAAGGGGAGGGTGACTGCATGCAACAAGCTCAAGACCATGACCTGAAAGGTGCAGCAACATCGTTTACCCTCACAAATTGTACTTGCTGATGAGGTGTTAATTAGCATAGATTGTAGAAGGTGCTTCCACATAACTTTATTGGCGTTAGGATATTCTGTTTTGAGCTAAAACTTTTGCAACAGTTTATATGCGAAGCTAGAGTTATTTACACAATTTCTTCCACACAATTCTTTTTTCTTGTAGTCAATAAAAACAATGTATTCCTGCTCCTTTGTGCCTGATTCAATGGAAGGAACGAACTGATTAGGTTTATGTTCACAGTCATTTATTGTATCGAACTTATATTAGGGTATAATGCATGGGAAAATGAATGAATAGACCATGTTTAGTTATTCCTCTATTAACTTAATCATCATAATGAAAATGAAATAATGAGACCTAATATCAATAACAAATAAATGATAAGAAATTTCGAAAGAGAAAAAGAGTCTAATAAATAGGTTAGTTTGGTTCGAGTTTATCATGTTAAATAGGTTGGAGTCATCTAGTTATTGTAAGATTAAAAATAAAACAATATTGTACTTTTAACATTTAATCCATATTTATCACATTATAACACCTCTAAAATATATATTTTTATCTCTTTTTAGGTATCAATTAGTATATTAACATAACATTTTTTTTTATATATTTGACTTTCATTAAAAAATTATTATAGAAAAAAATAGTTTTTCATATGTTTATTTTATAAATGTTTATGCATTTAGTTGAAATATCAACACAAGAACCTCACCCAATCCAAGGAAAAAGAAATAAAAGAAAGAAGTGATAAAGTTTGTAGAAAACATGACGTTATAAAAATTGAAATATAGAAAAAGAAATAAAAAAATCTAATAAATGTTCATTAAAAAAGAACTTTTGTATATATCTAATAAATTTGAAAATAAAAATGATAAGTTAATATCCTTATCAATTAAATATTCATTCACCAACTCATTCTAATAATATATAATAGTAATATTATTATTATTATTATTATTATTAAAATGATATGTAGAATAATTTTTTTTAAGTGTTCATGAATCATTAATCATTTAAAACAAATTGATAATCTAATTTTATTATATAACAATAATAATAACATTAAAGTGTTTTCATTATTATACAATAAAATGAAATTGTGAACTGATTATATGCTAAACCATGGTTAACCAACCATTTTCCTTGTAGAAATGAGATTGGTATCTAAGTAATTGATAGGGCCTACTTGATTAGGTAGGAAAGACCTTTTGTTAAAAGTGATTGCTATTAATTTCACTTAATTATTAATGTTTTAATATTAAGTTAGTAATATATGAATTAATAATTTTTATTAAATAAACTATAATGCCATTAAAAATACTTAGTAATTTTTACTGAATTATAAAGAAATTATTAGATATGTATATATCTAATAAGGAGCAGCATAGCATAACCTTTTATCGTAAAGATATGTATAAGGGTTGTTACAGGTTTGTATGAAGGCGAGGTTTGATTTGAAACTAGCCACGTGAATGAGGTGATGTCAGATTCTGAGGTGTATGAGTAAATTTCTAATTCTGGTTAATAAAGAATCTGTTCCTTTGGAAAAAGCGTATGAATCAGATGCAAAGTTAAAGAAGGTGAGTAACAGAAAGAATTAGATGCATAATTTGTTGATCGAATTCCTCGAATATTATATAATGAAGCCATTTAAGGATTAAAATATGAGATTAGCAACAAAGCAGCAGAAGGAGAAGCAGAAGTAGAATGAGTTATTTTTGCTGGCCAAATACCTCTGGCGGTGGCGAGAAGAGCAGTGGAGGGACAGAAAATAAGTCGATGTGTGAGAGCTGCGTGAAGCTACCTTTTCGGCTTTTCCTCCGTCTCTCCTCTTGCCTTTGGGGCTGCGCCAAGTGCTGCGTTTCCTTCTCTCAGCGCTGCTTCAAATGCTCTTGTTGTCTTGTTAAGACCGTTGGCGCTGTGGCTGTTTAACTCTAAATGAAATATATATTATTTTAATATCATTTTATAATCACAATTGTTTAACATAATATATTTTTCTTTAAAAATTTATTTAAACAATTCCTTTTTAATTCCTTTGCGTTGTTTGATTGTTGTAATAAAGTGGTTGCATTGTGGTGTATAATAAATGAGGCTTAAATTAATAAAAGTGTTTGCGTGTTAATTTAGTGTTGTCAATTTCTTACCATTCTTTTTTATCTAACAATCAATCATGATATATATATATATATATATATATATATATATATATATATATATATATATATATATATATATATATATATAGCTTTTTATATAGGGATTGTTTTCACACATTGATACCATGTTTAATCGCTTCTGGTGTTTAGGAATTTGCTTCAAAATTAGTTCTCGGCTTTTTATTTTAAATTAAAAAAATTGTTTGACGCATTTTTGTTAAAATAATTTGTAAAGTTTGTCTTTATTTTTTAGTTTTTAATGATTAAAAAATCGAAATTAATAAAAGTATTTTGTTTTAATTTTTTTTATTCTTATTAATGAGTTTCAATATTTTTACAAAAAAATTATATTAAATAGTTCATTTTTATCATCATAAAAATTATCAACTCCAGTTTTTTTTTTTTTACTTTAATTGTGTTTTCTTTAACGGTCATTTCTTTAAATAGTTTTCAAACAATAATTTGAAATGAAGTAGTTAATTCTTAGCCATATATAAATAATTCTGTAAAGGAAGACTATATGTCAAATATAAAAGCGACAAAATGGTCCATGTGTCTCATTTTATTTTTTCTGACGCATATATATATATATATATATATATATATATATTAAATAATTTTTTTAAAATTTTTATTTATTAACTAATACTTTTATTAATAAATTAAAAAAATTATTATATTTATATATTAAAATACTTAATTATAATTCATAATTTAAACTTAATTTATTAGTATTTATGATTTAAATTATTTATAATATATTAATATAATAAACAAATATAATATTTTTATTTAATTTTAATATATAAATATTTTTTAAAAATGAATCAGTTTGTCCTTGATTTGTTAGGTTGGCGACCAAGGCAAGACAATCCAAAAACAAACCTCAAATTGGATTCTCTAAACTAATGGTTTTACCAAACTTGTCCATATCAGGAGTTTTCCAATTGGAAGGCATTACTTCTTTCATGATATTGGGTGAAAAGACTCCTGAATTTGTACTTCTTTCATGTTTGCGATGGAATGAACGCTGATCTCACATCGACCAATAGTGTGTCACGGACTTGTATCTTAGACATAAGACTCAACTATACATTCCCAACTGATCTCATCATGTTACCTAATGTGAGGAGAGCCTTTTCTTTTAAGACTAGAGATGAGTGACAAGGAGGGAATAACCTCCTTGTTATCAGTTATTCAATACCCCATATAATAAAAGGTGTAATAGTAATTTTGTAAATACTAAAAGAGATAATACATAAGTTATTATAGCAACTAATGTAGTATATGATTGTTGTAACAATCAATTAGTATCTTGTAATACACATTAATATAAAATATGTTTTCTGTACATCGTCATTAAATATGAGTCAAGATTGAAAGTTGAAATAATAGCAAACTAAGAGAATTGTCACTTACAGGATTTAAATTCATTACATTAATGTTAGAGATTGATACTCCAACCACTAAGCTACTAAGATTTTTGAATAATAATTTATAAATAAATTATATTTATATACTATTAGTAGAAAATCGAGAAAAGCGATCGAAAATGAGGGAAAGGAAAGAGAGAACACGTGATCGATAAAAAACCATTCGATGTCTAAAGCACGTAACACATAACATCGATAAGTACAATCGAGAATCGAAGGAACGATAGTCAAATGCCTATTGTCAAAACCTAAGAAACTAGAATGATAAGACGTTAAGGTTGAAAAGGAATCGTAAGCAATTCGAAGTTCTCGAAAGTGTAAAATCGAAAATGAAGAAAGCTAACCTACACGGACATCGAAAACCTTGGCCAAACCATAAAGAGAAGAGTAAGTCAAACGCACGGATAGAGAGCAGTTTCTAAACCATGGAGGAAATCAAAGATTGTGAGAACGTGGAAAACCGTAGGAGATAAACCGCCATATGCACGTAGAACGTGGTAGCAGTCGTGTTAACTGCTCTTGGAAGACTTGAACGATGCACTATAAATAGAGCAAAGAAGGAAGAACTGGAGGGCAGAAATTGGCAGAGAACAGAATCAGTAGTGAAAAGTCTACCGGAGAAACGACGAACACCATGAAGTTTCTGGCAATCTGGATTTCCTTGCTCGATGAGTACATTTACCGCTTTCTGTATTTTCCTTGGTAATTTACTTTGATGCAACTTAAGTTCAGCAAGTTTAAGTTTCTGTCTTTTCGATTCCTTGTCATTTCAATTCAGTGAAAGTTTAAGTTTCTGTATTTACTATTTCCTGTCATTTAACGTTCTACAAATCTCGATTTCTTGTCATTTATATTTGCGCTGTTTTCGATTTCCTGTCATTTACAATTAATACAAATTTGGGGTTTTCGCACTTTACATTTCCTTGCAATTTAATATTCTGTTTCTCGATTCGTTATTTTTACTGTGTTTGGTATTTTAAAATATAAAAAATAGCGTTTTCGATATTCTGTGACTTTCGATTCTCATACACGTTTTCGATTGAAAGTCAGACTGCTAGCCCTAGTAAAAAGAACTTACGTGGGAGGATTTTGATTAGGACCAAATCACCTTTAGAATCGAAATCGATCGAAATTCCACCAGATACAAATTGGCGCGCCAGGTAGGGGCTTCTTGTGTTGAGAGACACAAAATTGGTTAGTTCGAGAGTGTATGAGATTAAGGAGTGGGAGAGTCATGAGTCAGAGTTCATCAAATAACCAGAGTGATAGTGAGGGTCTAAATGGTGTACATTCATCCAATACTGGGGGGCAAAGTCATAATGGGAATACACCTGTAGTATCGACAACTGCAAGTATGTCGATACCCGTAAGTAATGAACAAAATTCAGGCACTTTAGCAAATACCCAAGTAGGATCTAGCACGGTGGCACTAAACAGTATGCCAACTATGGGAAACCTTATAACAACAAATGCTGGGCCGTATATGAGTATAAGACCACCTGGGTTTTCGCTTAACATGAATGGGGTTGGTACTTCTTCGATGCAACGAAATTCGAGATATAACTTAGGAACATTCCAAACCCTAGGTATGCCACAGAATTTTGGAACATCTCCAAACCTAGGAACATCTCAAAATGTAGTAATTCCCCAGAACTCAGGGAGTGTGCAGAATGTAGGAACGCAGCAAATACCTCCAAATCTAGATCATAGAGGAAACTTAGATCATGGGAGATATGCGTTCGATAGGGATTATCATCGATCTAATTTTGATACTATCGAAAATACCGGGACTGGGATATCCAGTAACTCATTAGGGATACTTAGACAACAAATGGATGAGAGCAATTTTGAGATGGTGAATATGTTATCCCAACAGTTGACTACAGTCTTAAACCCATTAGTTCAAAACACTACAGCTAGTTTTGAGATATTAGCAGATCAAATGTCACGAATCGGGGATGCATTGGCTGTACCTCGACGAACAAGGGTAGAAAATCATGCTAACCAGAACGCCAATATCAATCCCCCATATCTTTTAAGGAGAAACCGAAACAACGCTCAACAAATGGGAAATGAGTACCAACACGTGAGGAATGACATTTATGGGAATTTGAACGAAGGATTTCAAAACATACACAATCAGAATAACATGTTGGGACAAAGGATGAATTTACAAGGGATGGAATTTAGACCACCCAATCAGACATATTTTGTGTCTCCCTTTCCGAATGCGATTCTCGAGACAGAATTGCCTCGAGGATATAAAGTACCCAAATTCACTAAATTTGCTGGAGAAGTTGGTGAATCGACGATCGAGCATGTTGCTCGATATCAGATCGAATGCGGGGATTTAGCGATGAGTGAAGAATTAAAGATGAAATATTTTCCTAGTTCTTTGACTAAGAATGTTTTTACTTGGTTCACTTCGTTACCGCCCAATTCGATATATAATTGGTTGCAGTTAGAGAGAAATTTTCATGAGCAATTCTTTAGAGGAGAAACTCAAGTAAGTCTCATCGACTTGATGAATATAAAGAGGTACAATCATGAAAGCATAGATGATTATTTGAATCGATTTAGACAAATGAAATCGAGATGCTTTACTCAAATTCCTGAATATGAATTAGTCAGAATGGCCTCTGCAGGTTTAGAATTCTCGATTAGGAAAAAATTAGTCAATTTACCATTGAATGATATGACTCAGTTAGCTGATAAAGTGAGAAGAGTAGAACAAATCGAATATGAAAAACAAAGATATAAGAAATTTGAGAAACCGATGAAGAAAGAAAGAATAGCATATATAAATGATGTGTACGAAACAGATCCCATGACAGAGAATGACGTGTTGAACATTCAAGGACTTGATGTTGCAAATAATGATCATGAAGAATGTTGATTTTGATGATGATCCAAGAGCTTAAAGACTTAGAGTATTGAAGATTGAAGATTGATGATTTCTGTATTGTAATAACTCTGTTTTAGTTTGATTGAGTCTGTAATTATAGAGTCTAAGATAGCCGGTACATAGTCTGTAACTTAGAAGCTTCAAAATGCTCAAATTTATCATGCAGGCTCGGCTTTAATCGATTATATAGGTAAATAATCGATTAAAACAGTGAGAAAAACACTTTCTATACAAACTCACTGTTTTAATCGATTAAACAGCAATATAATCGATTATTTCGTACCGTTCCGTACAGATAATCGATTATTTCACCAAATAATCGATTAAACCAGAGAGGATTGGGTTCTGACGTATTTGGCTCTGTTTTAATCGATTAAAACTCCATTTAATCGATTATTCCAGTCTGTTTCTGATTTTAAACTTCAAACAAACCCT